AGGTGAGTGATGGTCTTATGGCCCCCGGAAGGACCAAGCCCGCCGCGGCGGAAATGATCATGCCCCAAAAAGAAGTTGGTTTCATTCTCGCTATGGGCAGGACTACTCGTGGTGGTCCTGAGGCTAAGTCCTTGGGTTAACTGGTACCCTTCACCCATTAAGGACTAGACTACGGTTGAGGGCGCCCTTGTTTGGCTGCCTGCTTAATCTTTTACTGCTCGTGATTTTACATTTTAATCTGTGAATATCTACTTTGTATGTGTCCATCCATGTTTTTTATTGCAACACATATTGACTGTTGTATGTTTTACGGCTATCCTTCTTTTTGTTTCATTGGAGTTTCGTTGAGGAGTGAGTATTTTTGGCTTCTCAATATCAGCCTATCTTCACAAACTGATTGACTCAAAACAAATATGGCGGCAGTCATCAACCCATTTGCGGAACGCGTTTTTCACCTGGTGCTTCTTCTTGCCTTCCTGGAATGCCTTACTGGAAAAACTGAAATATGTATGCAGTTATGCCCTTTGGATTCACGAAAAGTCAATGCACCGAGGATTTTGAACCAAGAACATTGTCGACCTCCCAGAATACCAGTGAGTAAACAGACAAAGCATGGGTATGTTTCACTGTTTGTTCCTGGTGCAGATCCTCTGGTTGATCTAACTGTCTTTAATGATGTGTCAAAAAATCAGGGACCAGAAACATCCACCGTATTTTGTATACGGATTTTCCATAGAGCTATTGATTCAACTGCTGTGAGTACTGACAAAACCAGAACTGCCAATTTGAGCGAACATTACCCAATGCGGTATTAAACAACGGTGCCAAACTTGTTAATACTGGCATAACTTTACTGCCAGGGCAGTGCACTCCACATGATGATAACCGCATTGTAAAAGTAGAATCAAATATAGCATTGGTGAATTATATAAGCTTAAAGATGCCAGTCAAGCTTATTTTGTGCCTGCGGAAGTTTAGTGATAGAATTTATGATCTTGGACTTCAAAGACGTGTTCATCGTGGACGTAGAGCTGGCAGAGACATGTATAGGAAGATCACTGTGAATACAACTGTGAGAACCACGATCAACAGTCCTGAGGATCCATGTCGCCATGACAGTTGCATCAGAGTGTTAACCCCTATTCCTAAAACTCCTGCAAATTCGAGTTTGACCAGTAAACGTCATGTCAATGACTTTTCCTCTTTTCTCTTGACCAATGCTCAGTTGTTGGTTAATAAGCTTGGTGAACATGAGATCATTCTTCGTCACGAATTGATTGACATTGGCATTGTGACAGAAAGTTGGTTTCATCAAAATCTTCCCGACAATATGACCTCAATTAATGATTACCAACTCTTTTTTAAGAATCGCAGCCATATGAGAGGTGGGGGAGCGGCACTTTATGTTAAATCTGACAGCACCCTGCCTGATAAGTTGGAGTGTGTATGGACCCTTGTACAGCCTAAGCAGCTTCTGCGGTCAGTCTCGGTCATCGCAGTGTGTGGTGTATATAACCCCCCAGGCTTCCCGCATCAGGACCAACTTGAACTTCATCTTCAAGAGACTATGGATTTTTTTGGCAACAAAATACCCTGCCATTGGTTTTGTTCTACTTGGAGACTTTAACAACAAGAACATTTATAGGTCCATTACTTGTTCTCAAAATCTCAAGCAAATTATCAAATTTCCTACCTGCAAGGATGCAATTTTTGATTTAATTTTGACAAACATTGACTGTTTTTATGATGCCCCCTGTGTATCTTGTCCAATTGGTAAGAGCGATCTTTCTTGCATTGTGTGGAATTCTAGAGGACACCAAATTAACAAATTGTTAATACAAAAAAGACTTATCATCCAATGAAAGATTCTCAGGTTCGTGAGTTCGGGAGGTGGATTCAGGCCCAGGACTGGAATAATGTCCTTGATGCTGAGTTAACACAGCAGAAAACAGATGCCGTATATCATTCTATAAGCAATACAATTGACAGTTAGATGCCATAATAATGACAAACCATGGATTATTCAAAAAATTAAATCTTTGATTAAGTCACGCCAAAGTGCATTCTCTAAAGGTGAATTCAGATTATTACGTAATCAAGTGAAATCTGAAATACGTAAATTTGTGTAAGGTCAATTATTATGTTAATATGGTGCGTGAATTACAGTCGACTGACCCCAGAAAATGGCATCAACAAATACGCTCAATGACCAGGAATGACAAGACTGAGCTGTGCATTTCCATCCCAGGTATCAGTCAGCATGATCATACCAAGACTGCTGATTCTTTAGATGATTTTTTTTTATTAAAGTGTCCTCTGGAATTCCACCTCTGGATCTTGGTACTTTGGAAGCTTTTCTTCCTGCTCCTAGTCCCCCTCAAGTTAATCGAGTGGCCCTGATGGCATTTCTTCTAAAATCATTAAGGAGTTTACATACGAGTTTAGTATTCCCATCTGCGACAATTTAAATTCTTCTTATAATGAATCCCACAGCGGTGGAAGAAAGCCATTGTTGTGCCCATACCAAAACTGATAAGTTACGCCCCATTTCACTAACTGATTCCTTTGCCAAAATTGCAGAAAAGTTTTATTACAGGATGGGTTTTGGAAGATATTAGTGATAAGATTGATCCTCACCAATTTGGTAAAATTAAGGGTATAAGTACTGCACATTATTTGATTAGCCTTCTTCATTTCCTGCATCAGGGTGCTGATAGGGCTGGCAACGTTGGGACGGTGGTTCTGACGGACTTTTCCAAAGCGCTTGACATGGTGGACCATAGCCTGATGATTGAAAAGTTCATCCGCTTGGGAGTCTGCAGATCCATCGTCCCTTGGTTGTGCGGCTTTCTCAACCCACGGATGCAATGTGTTTGATACAATTAAACATGGTTTACATACACAACTCTGACCGGTGGCCTTCCACAGGGTACTAAGCTGGGACCAATTGGTTTCCATGCCATCATTAATGATGCTGTTGAAGATGTTCCTGACAATATGAATCGTTGGAAATATGCTGATGATCCGACACTAGCTGAAAACTGTTCTTATTTGTGTAATAGCCAGCTTCAGGAGATTCTTAATAAATTTAGTCAATGGTGTGATGATAATATGCTTTGCTTAAATCCAACCAAGTGTCAGACCCTCCAGATATGTTACAAACAACAAGCCCCTGTCCCCGCTGTTCTTAAGTTCAATCAATGCCCCCTTCAGTTTGTTGACCAGGCAAAAATTCTTGGTGTTTGGATACAGAACAACCTTTAATGGAACAAAACTATTTCAGAGATTTCCGTCAAAGCTAACCGTAAATTATACCTGCTCCGTCTGCTGAAAAAAATTTAGGTTTACTAAACCGGAACTTGTTACTGCGTATAAAGGTTATATTCCGCCATTGCTAGAACATACTGATGTAGTTTGGCATTCCTCACTCACATGTAAACAATCCTCTCAATTAGAAATTCTGCAACGGTGAGCATGCCGGATAGTCTTGGGTAGTAAGTTTATTTCATACAATGACGCTCTTCAAGACTGTGAGCTTGAGTCTTTGTCTAGCAGAAGAGAAGATCACGGTCAGCAGTTTGCGGAAAGGCTCTCCAAGTCTACCTGCACTAAAGACCTTCTCCTCCTACTAGATATGAGAGTCATTCTCGCAATCTGCACAGTGCCCATAATGTCTCCCTGCTGCGTACCTGGACTTCTCGTTTCAGAAACAGTCCCCTTCCTTATTTTGTCAATTTATTAAATAGGTAGTTGCAGTATGTTTGTGTGTAAATATTGGTGGTTAATTTATGTCCCAATGAATCTTTTCATGTAGTTTTCATTTCTGATAAGTTGTTTATTTTTTATCATCTTGTAATTTTAATGTTTTTCTTACATTTGTAATATTTACTGTAATTTCGCCATTGGCCACGAGTGTAAAAATAATAAACTAAACTATCTCTCTATCTATCTAGACTAGATCACGATATGCCATGCACAACAACTAGTCTGAATAGAGTGATATATATTCACTGTGCAAAAAGCCTTAAGCCAGGGGTGGACTGATCATCTCCACCTTCTCTGGGCAACTACATATAGATGTTAGGAACAGCACACAGCAGTCTACAAATAAATCGCGAAACTAAGCACCACTAAATTAACTCAAAAACTTACTTGATTGTTTTAATAAGGGAATAAATGTGTGCTTCGGAGGTTTTTATCACTCTGTTTAAGACCACTTAGAGTCTGGGTGCTGATAATTACCCGAGCCGGATTATCAGCACCCAGACTCTAAGTGGTCTTAAACAGAGTGATAAATACCGACGGAGCACATATTTATTCCCATTCATAAATACCTTTTCGGTAAGAAAAAATCATATAATTCGTTCAAAACATCCCGATTTTGTTCAACAAATTCACTTTATGCTTTTTGAAACATCCCTCTTGCAAAATAATGGAGTGTTCAGCTGGCGAGTAAGATGTAAACAACCCTTTTATGGAGATTGACGCGCGCGTATCATGTTCTGCGCGATGTCGCGCAGAACGCACCTGGCGCGTTGCGTTTTGAATTTAGAACTTTAAAATTCTGACTCCCTGGTAGTGTTGCGCATGCCTACGTGAGGATTGTGAACGTTCAACCAATGAAACGATAAGAGGCACTGGATTTTTAGGAGTCCACATTTTATTGTGACACTGGAAAAGTGTTTAAGACCAGCTAGCCATGTCTTTATCATCCGTTTAAGACCGGCCACGTGACGGGCTCTCGACCAATAGGAATGCGTAAACTGTCTTAGGTATTTATGAATATTTATTGAAGAAACACTTGAAGAACTGATTGTGCAATTAAATGTTTAGCAAATTGGCCTGCAAAAAAGGAAAAATGCAAATGTAGTTGCTATTTGGGTGAGATGACGGAGTAGACTCTATAGACTTAATAAATTTTCCACTTTTTAGCCATGTCCACTTTCACGTGGAACTGCCCACATGCACAGCTAATATCAAATGTAATACGAATGCTTTACCTTTCGTATCAGTAAATGGGTACCCATCCCACTGGTCTCTGAAAGGCAAAATGTCCTCCTGATTGATAACGTTGATGTAGGCTCGGCAGAAAGCACTGATTTCTAAACTGAATAACAGTAACAAAACAAGGAAAGTTTGAACTTTATGTTAAAGTCTGGTTCACATTTACAAGCGTCATTGAACTAGCCCCATCAGCATAATGAAAAAAATAGCATTTTTTTTGCATTTATTCGTTTGACACAATAGATGACATCAAGAATGTATAAACTTTAACTTCTTGGATGTGATCAAGTACTTTATTCATTGGCTCTGTGAATTTAATAGTTTTTAACATTATTAATTCTTGGTAAGGGTCATTCCATGTCAATTAAACTTGATTTTTCACCCAACTCTCACAGATTGCAACAATATTTGGTGTGAAGATTGGCCTATATGATAAACCATCCAGAACTGAAATCTTTTGTAATTTGGCTTATTTTTTTGAGATACCGGTCAATAACCTTCTGACTAAATCATATGACCTCTTTAAACTTTAAATTCTTATTTCCAAAACTATAGCACATACAAAGCCAAGTTGTGCATCACACTTAAGCTCTTTGAATGGCATCTATTTCATAAAATAAAACCAAAATCGTAGCATGTAGGGCAGAGAAAATGCATTGACTAAATTACCGTTGACCACAAATTACAACAAGTCAGGTGTGTCAAGTATTTCTCAAGTTGTCGCGCTGACAAAATTTCTTTTGTTTTAGTCACTGTGACCTTGACCCATGACCTTTCAGCCCCAAATGCAAAAGGTTCTTAGGATTACCAAGAACAATACACAAACCAAATTTGAAGTTCATATGTTAAGTATTTCTCAAGTTATCGCGCTGACAAGATTTGTCCGGACACACACACACACACACACCCAGGTTTACGTTACATACCTTGTGTGGACATTCCTTTGTTTTCGTGTAGTTAAGACAACTCGGTACAAAAAATAACTTTACTTAAACTGTGAAAACTCTTTTAACCCAATTTTTTTTTCTATGATTCCCTATAGTGTTTTTTTTTCATTCTGCTACAGATAAACCTAACCCAAAAATGCCTCTTAACCTGTTTTCCAGAAAGGGCAAAACCTTATGTGGACACGGCTTAGTCCACATAACGTTAACACAACCTACATTATGTGGACATCTCTTGTTCACAAGTCCACATAGGGAATGTAAGACAAACTCACACGCACACACACACACGGAAGGGGCATAAAAATAACTAGACTTATGTTTTCGGACAAACACAAGGCTGTTTCAGCATCTTTTTTTTGTGACATGTAAAGTTTCAAGTATAAGTTCCATCAAGGAAGGATTTGTAGTTCTGTTTATAATAAATGGTGGCAAGTATGTGATTATATTCTTATAGGGCTTTGAATTATGATGTCACATGTCACGTGATGAAGTTCTGATGACGTCACATCAATTTTCATCTATAATCATCTATAACAACCTGCCACTAGAGGGCGCTGTAATATTTTATGACGTCACCATAAATTTTGTTTAAACTTAGCCACAGCATACATCATTTAAAGCAAGTTCACATCTTTTACCAATTTTAAATTACAAGGCACTTCCAGTTACAACCGGAAGGAAGGGTCACGTGATTTTGCACATAAAATCAAAAATAAAGACCCTGGATTATTCTATCAATTCCCGCAAAAATCAAGTTTAGGTCTCTCACGGTTGGTTTTATATTGATTTTTAAACATTAAATCTATTAATCTTTAACGTGACGTTACATAACCCATGATGACGTCACCGATGAATTCCCCAGCTGATTTACCATGCCCATGAACCGTTGTAGCTCTGTAATGTTTGTGGGTGTAGGGAGCTGGGCAATGGCTGACGTTTTCTGTGTATCTGTGTATCACGGAACTTGATTGTGTTCCTTGTGAACTCACACTTGTTACTGAGTGTTAGTCCTGCTTCTTGCAGTCATTGTAGGGTTACTCTCACCCTGTGATCATGTTCAGCTTGAGATGTACGGTGGTTGAGTACGTCATATATGTGGCATATAACTCCCTCGCGGCCCTCCAGAATACCAGACATTGTCTGCTGGAATATTTCTGGTGCAGAGCATATGCCGAATGGCAGCCTGTTGAAACAGTATCGACCGAAGGGCCTGATGACTGGCGCAAGCAATTTTGACTGATCATCCAGTGGAAGTTGCCGGAATCCACTGTTGGCATCGAGCTTGGAGAATATCGTGCTTTTACCCAGCTTGGCCAGACTTTCAATGGATGACATGGGGTGAATCTCGTGCTCGACCCGTTTGTTCAGCTGTGTGAGGTCAACACATATGCGCACAGTGCCATTTGATTTGGGCACTGGAACAATTCCTGAGCACCAATCAGTTGGTACAGTCACTGGCGAAATCACTCCTTGTTTCAGCATTGATTCGATTTACAGTTTCACCTTCGGAAGTAGCGCATGTGGAATTTTCCTTGGCATATGTAGACTCACAGGCTTGGCATTTGGGCGGAGTGTGATGTGGTACTCTGTCTTGAGTTTGCCCAAACCCGTGAATATAGCTAGAAATTCAGTATGGAAACTGGCTGGTGGTGAGCTTGGTTGGACCTCATTGATTCGTTTGATGAGGCCAAGTTCGACGCATGCTCTTTTGCTGAGCAAGTAACAGTGTTGGTTTTGGATGACGTACAGTTGTTCCTTGATTTGTCCCTGCCGATGCTGTAGTTAGCAAGCCAAGTACAGGAAAATGGGGTGCCGCCTGGTCCACAAAGGGATCAACTCATTGTATTTAGTTTCTGTCCAGCTAGCAAAGACTTGGCGTCACTGATGACAGAAACTGTTGCCCCAATGTCTAACTTCAAGCATGTTTTGTGTCCATTGACGGATATCTCGGCTGTTCAGTAGTCTTTGTTGTTGGAGAATTCACCGAGGAATGGTAAGTCCGAGTCATCATCTAGCAGGTCATGCACCTCGTGAACTTTTGAACTGCGGCAGATACTTTTGAACTGCCCTCTTTTGTGACAGTTCGAGAAAGCCCAGTCTTTGGTAGGGCAGTGAGTACGGGTATGTCATTCTTTCCCACACCATGGGCACCAACTTCCATGGCTGGGTGGGGCAGATGACCGTGCATTTTGCCGTTTACCTTTTCCGGTTCTACTCGTTACCATGTGCGATGCAGATGACAACTGGAGGTGATTGATTTGTGAAGGTGAGTTTATTTCACCTTTCACCACATCTCGGTTTTGTTTTTGTGATTCTGCCTGGCGGTAAAACTGGACCGCTTTGTCAAAGGCGAGGTCAGATTTGGACTGGAGATGATCCGACAATTTCTCATCTGACACCCCTATGACTATTCTATCTAGACTGTCTATCAGTTCTGCATATTCATAGTAGTTGGCTAGACGGTACAGGTCCTGTATGAAAGCATCGATAGGTTCCCATGGCTGTTGCTTTCGTCTGTTAAAGCGAGCCTTTTGTACGATGACATGACATTACGGCGGCCTTCATAATGTTTATTAAAGTGACTTCATCTTGCAATTTCTTCATTGAGTCTTAGAGTTATTAGTATGTCATCAGCACAATCACCCATAGCATAGAGCAAGTGCTCACCTGTTCCCTTTGTTGCTTTTTGGTCAGGCCTGATGCTATTCGATAGCGTTCATAGCGCTTGATCCACTTTGGCCTTCGATTCATTTCCGCCATCAAATTTCCCTGGTAGCGGGAGATGAGTTGTTACTTGTGGCTGTCTTGCTGCTTGGGGTGGATTAGAAGGCATTTTGCAGGTTCGGAGACCGCTGCCACCATGTAGTAATGTGACAATAGATGGTTTTATGGGAAGACAATGCAATGTGTTTATTTTAAGATGGCGACTTTTGGCAAGGTTATCGTATGTGCGTAACATGGTGAACAGGGCGCTTTACAACATAACCACGTTGGCTTACTCTACGCCACGTTCTACAGCTACATGTAGCAAGATGCTGCATAAACATTGGACATAGGGCTGTTAAGGGCAAGTACCAGTATGTACAGTTGAACGTGCACATATGCAGTATGTAATATACCGGTACATTGTAAGTGTGTTGTGAATGAGGTCTTTTCCCAGGACATGCTATCTTCAAAAATTCATAACTTAATAACTTTAAGAGCGCCCTCACAAAAATTTCCCAAGATTGTTGCTTACATCATAAACCAACATCTGGAAAAAACTTTTCAAAATTTGAAGCGTACATATTTTTGTAATTCAAAGGTCATTTCATTAAGTAATTTCTCTGCGCTTCATGCTACAAATTTGGTTTTATTTCATGAAATGGAGACCATGCAAAGAGCTTTAAATAATAGACCTATGATGTACAACTTTGTAGGTGCTATAGTTTTGGAGATACAAGTATTTAAAGTTCAGATGTCATGCTAATTAGCCAAAAGTTCATCTCAAAAACTAACTAGCCAAATTGCAAAAATAATTCAGTTCTGGGGGTATCTCATATATACATGTAGGCTAATCATCACACCAAATATTTAAATTTGTTAGGGTTGGGTGAAAAATGACCAGTAAAACAAAGTTGGAAGGCAGATGGGGTACATGTAAGTACAAGGCATGGTACATGTACCGGTATCTTACAAAATACAAGATTTCTTTTTAAGATATGGGTTGCGTTTAAAGTTTGGGAAACAGATTTTGATGATTTTTCATATGAATATTCAAAGCGTAAACTATAGTCAAAAAGAGGAATAAGTCCTAAGAGGCTTAACTGTGTTTGATGCATTTTTAATGATATTCGGTACAGATGATCAAAGCTAACTCAGCCGTACTACCGTTTTAGCATCGGTCTCAGAATGACAATAAAATTGCTGGGAACATGAGATTTGTCAAAAAATTTAACAAATTAAACAAAATAAAAACCATAACAACAAGTCAGGTGTATTTACAAACACAAATGCCCCGCAACCGTGACAGTTCCCATGACATAACACCACTCTTTTAACATCAACTTACATGTACCTTGGTCACATGGAACGTTCATTGACAGCATTAGCGCCTTCTGTAGGTTTTATATGAATTAATCCCTAATTCCTATATCTCAGAATAAATACAAGATTTCTATTGTTTTAGCCACTGTGACCTTGACCCTTGACCTTTCAACCCCCAATGCGATAGGCCTATTTGGATTACCAAGAACGATCCACAAACCAAATTTGAAGTTCACATGTGGAGTATTTCTCAAGTTATCGCGCTGAAAAAATTCTTTTGTTTTAGCCACTGTGACCTTGACCCTTGACCTTTTGGCCCCATATGCAATAGGTTTCTTAGGATTGCCAAGGACAATCCACAAACCAAATTTGAAGTTCATATGTAAAGTATATCTCAAGTTATCACGCTGACAAAAGTTCTTTTGTTTTAGCCACTGTGACCTTGACCCTTGACATTTTGGCCCCAAATGCGATATGCCTATTTGGATTACCAAGGACAATCCACAAACCAAATTTGAAGTTCATACGTAAAGTATTTCTCAAGTTATCGCGCTGACAAAATTTCTATTGTTTCAGCCACTGTGACCTTGACCCTTGACCTTTCGGCCCCAAATGCAATAGGTTTCTTAGGATTACCAAGAACAATACACAAACCAAATTTGAAGTTCATATGTAAAGTATTTCTCAAGTTATCGCGCTGACAAAATTTCTTTTGTTTTAGTCACTGTGACCTTGACCCTTAACCTTTCGGCCCCAAATGCAATAGGTTTCTTAGGATTACCAAGAACAATACACAAACCAAATTTGAAGTTCATATGTAAAGTATTTCTCAAGTTATCGCGCTGACAAGATTTGTCCGGACACACACACACACACACACCCAGACTTGTTTCACATACGTAGTGTGGACTTTCCTTTCTTTTCGTGTAGTTAAGGAACACCAGTGGAAAAACTCATTTTTCTCAAACTGTGAAAACTCTTACAACCCAATTTTTTTTCAATGATTCCCTTTAGTGTTTCTCTTCATTCTGCTACAGATAAACCTAACCCAAAAATGCCTCTAAACCTGTTTTCCAGAAATGGGGAAACACTGTGTGGACGTGGGCAAGTCCACACAACGTCGGTGCTACCTACATTATGTGGACGTCTTTTGTTCGGAAGTCCACACTGCGTATGTAAGACAAGCTCACACCCACCCACGGAAGGACAAGGCGGAAACAGTATGCCCCTTCGGCTTCGCCGCAGGGAATAAAAATAAATATCAACCAATATTATCCAAATTATGTACACGTTTTGTCTGCATTACGTGTAAGTCAAACGGAAATAAGGGGACACAGAATATAGGACTGGTTATTAAAAGTGTCCCTCAAAACTTTGTTTAGGAGACACAATAAATATAAATTGAACCCTGAAACGACATATACATCGCCCCCCAAAAAAACAAGTAAGTTATTTGATTTGTTGGCTTTTTAAAGGATCCTACCTTCTGTCAGCTTGAACAAAACTCAGGTAGTTATTGTCTGGGAGTGGGGAAATCTGCTCCAGGAAATCAGCTTCAGTCAGGGTAGGAGGAAGGCATCGAATAACGACCTACACAAAATGTGTACATTTGCCACAAAATAAAAAATTGAGCTCCTTTCAATAAAAAAAGAAAGAAAACTTGTGTTAAACACATACATGCATGCCCTGCAGCCCAAACTGTTCCCATGACACTTTTTGCCACCAAGAAGCCAGTTTATGTGATTAATAAATTGAATAGAATGTGAATATGAATTGAATAGATCATGTAGAAGGAATAATGAGTACAAAAGAGACAAGAACAGTGGTCCCATTCCAAAATTCAGCCAAAATCAACCTGTGGAAATACATGAATGTTAATTAATTAAAAAAACAAAAAGGATGTGCAATATATATAAGAATGCATGTATTTCCTTTTGTACTAACTTAAACTGTTGCACATGTCTTAAAGTAGCAGGGCACTAAATATATCTCATTTTTTGTCCTCAAAAACAAGTACATCTTTATTTAATATTGATAAGTGTGCTGCAGTTAATGTAACTGTATCACTAAATAAACATCATCATTCAAACCCAATGCAGCACTTACCAGCAGTCTGGGTGCTCCGCTACAGGAGGGTTTGACCTCCTCTGGATGTAAACCCCATTTGGACTTATTTAATTCTATCATTGATTTATATTTATTAACTTCTTGTAATTTCTCATTGTATTTTGTTGTACAAATGGAAATAAACAAACAAACAAACAAATTTCCGACAACTAAGTGAAATCCTACGCTTTGAATGAATGGGGAAGAATCCTTGTAACTTTTCAACTTAAAATAATATAAATGGCCACTTGAGGCTAAAAAATATGACCAAAATTATGATGACAAAAGCATTTCACATGTAGTTGTAAGAACATCATTGTTGTCATCGTCATTGACATAATCAGTCATCACCATCAAAATGCCAGATGGCTACTGCCTTCAAACTCTTTAAAATTTTCGAAAAGAGATGCCCTCAATAGATAATGAGCAACTGATTCCACTTTTTCCACCGCATACCATTTTATAGTAACGAAATGGGGGAGGTGATATTGGGATAGCACCCCCACTTCAACCCACCCCCCTTAGAATTTGTTGACAGAAATTCGCTTTACACTGTCAAAACTCATTGAGTGCCCTTACTTTAAAATGAGGCTACCCTAAGTCCCCCTCCTATGCAAAAACTCAAAAATCGAAAACTGTATAAAGAAAACCACCACTCCGAAGTGATGTACTCCTATTATCAATGTAGTGTATGTAAACTCAGTGCTGTGCTAAAACCTCAATTGTACATTTTGTACTTCAATGGGAAGGATGTGTTTGGTCATTTCTATAAAAAGAGTGAAGTTTTAAATCAAAAGTTTGTGTAGATGTTGAACATTTGAACTGTACCTGATACTGTTTATCTTTCAGATGCTAAAATTGATTTGCCAGCTGATCGCCATTCAACTAATGCAGACACTGATCAAACCACGCATGTATGTATTCGGGAACATTCTAACGTGACGTGAACACAAAAATACGAAACGGCGTAAGTCATTGCAAATAATTTTTGCAAAGTTTTGCTTTTATTTTTGGGACTGGAGTCTTATTAACCTTCCTCGAGTCGAGTTGAGTTATTCTGATAAGGAACTCGAGTCGAGTCAAGTCATTTGCTCGCAGTGACTCAAGTCCAGTCGAGTCATTTGCCCTTAGGGGCTCGAGTTGAGTCGAGTCACCAAAAATTGTGACTCGAGTCGGACTCGAATTGAGTCATTGACTCGAGTCATTACAACTCTGGGTTCCCCCCACCCCCGATACCCCTTTTTTTGAAAAATTTCCATAGCAGAAACAAACTTGGGGTAAACCTCTGTGTAAATTGCTGTGAAACTATTCAGAATAACTTTTTAACAGAAATATAAATACTTAAAAAAGTCCCTTAAATGCATAAAATCAGATAAGGGAGTTTGACAGCAAGTTAATTTGTCTGGCGATAAAATAATATCAATTCGGTTAAATTAATATCAATTTTATTATATTAATTGCAATAATCAAGTCTGTGGTCATGAAATTACTAGGAACAACTTGCTACACGAGTTTCAGTTTACAGGTGTTTGTGGAAGCTGCCATGCTCTCTTGCCCGTATTGGAATCTGACAATTTAGGATTAACCTTGTTCTAACCTGGGCATCCATAATTGGGTCACAGGACATTTCAGTGTAGTGTAGAAATTGGCATTTTTAAGAGCTTAAAAATTATATTTCCCCAAGGCACAAAATTGGTAGAATTTTGTGTGCGTGTTCGTCATGGCAACTATAAAAGGTTTTTGAGTAAATATTTGGTTGTGAACTAAAATGTTAGGGGCACTAACGTTTTATGTCAATTCTTACTGGACTAAAAACCAAACTACAAATTACTATGTGCACGTGTATGCATACATGTATACAGTTGTGTTTGACATAACTCCCGAGGACAAGCTACCCGTATTGTCTTTTCCTTTGTCTTTGTACACTCTCCCATAGACTAGGCACATAAACGCACGATCGATTTCAACAGAAGACGAACGATCAAGGTCAACAAAGAATCTGTTGTTTTCACTTTGTCTGTCGGTTCTCAGGGTGTAGGCCTATGTAGTGTACGCCCACACATTCTTGTCTGTAACTGTGGGGACTACACACGAGTTGTCCCATGGTACTATGTGGCTGAAGACAATATGTGGACAGCAGAAAGTGCCCACAACTTGGTTCTAATTACCCTAATAATGAGAAACTTCCCCATAACGCAGTGTTGGCCCGCCAACACACACGGACAGACAATTAGTATGAAGTGTTGTACGGGACACACGCATAAAAAGTCGTACAGCACGGAATTAAAATCTAATTAGATGAAAATTAATTGAGGTGATCTGTGTAGAGATTGAACAATGCTGATGAGATTGAGCATCCCTGCTTAATACTCCAAAAGGAGTGTTGAAGGGGGGTGTCTTTTGTCCATTCCAGGTGATTGTACCGGTTAACAGCCCGAAGGTTAAATAGTCCGAAGGTCCAATAGTCCGAATAGACAATAGTGTTCGATAGTCCGAATTGATGATAAAGTTTGATAGTCCGATGGACAAAAGGACTATATTGTCGATTTGGACTATCGAACCTCATTGTCGATTCGGAATAATAAACCTTCGGACTATTGAACCTTTGGACTAATTAACCTTATTCTAAATTCAGACTTCCAAACCTTCAGACTAATGAACCTTCGGACTATTGCTTCAAATGTTCTGATTAACGAACCTTATTTCAATTTCGGACTAACAAACCCCCTCTTATGGGCATTTTGTGCATTCGGGCTATCGAACTTTCGGACTAAAGAATCTTCGGACTATCGAGCCTTCGGACTATCGAATCTTTGGACTATCGAGCTCCCCGATTGTACTAGGGGCTTCGTTAAAGGGAAGATACAAAATTGCAAACATCAAAAAACGAAACGATCAAATTATCATGTAATACCTTACTAGATTGTTAAGGAATGACAGTCTAAAGCATCCTGTAAAGTTGTGGCTCGTGGTGTGCATTTTCAAGAAAAGTTGTATTTTTCCAATGCTGGTCGGCCGACCAGCATTGAAGAAAACTGGCTTTTTTCAAAAACTGCTCATCATTTTTCATTAGTTATTCCGCATTTTCTTTGCAATTGATTACACAACTGTGAAGAGGTACAAGTCTTACCATTCCCCAAAGTCTATAAATTGCTCTGTTTCATCTTAAGTGGGGTCAGCGAACCAGACTACAAGAATATGATTGGTTTTCTTGGTTTTTCCAGCATCTACGAACCCAAAACGTGAAACAAGTCAGTGTAACAATATTTGCTTTAACATACTAATCCTCCAAATCCATTAATTTCCAAAAATTTCAGCAAAAGCAAAGGTTGTACATTCCCTTTAATTGTAAAGATGTTCAATCAACCTTTCCATGCCATCTGGAACGTTCAGCTTGTGAAGCATGCTGAAGAGTTTGTTATGCAACACTTTGCTGGGACTTCGTCGCCACATCGCACAACATGTCCCAGTAGTCGCAGTCTGCTTATTTGGACATGGTTGGGCGATAGTACAGTCTGAGATCGATAGCCTTATTGCGTTTACTAATAAATAACCATTTTCACTCGTACCCCCAATCAAAATCTTCAGATTTCGCCCCCAAATCAGTATTCAAACTGCCTCAAGCCCAGTTCATACTCGGTGCGAAAGTGAAAGCGAATGCGAATTTGTAATGTCATGGCAAGTATTCGCGATGCAAATTCATACAAGTTGAACATATTTCAATTCTGGCAAATTTTGCAGCTAATGTTTCCTGACGTCAAGTTCATTTCGCATTCGCTTTCGCATGAAGTATGAACCGGGCTTTACGAGCCCCTGTAGGCTTCGGTGGGAATTGAAAATACAAATGGTGGTGGTGGTTAGGTTCACATACATGTACCTTAGGGGAGAAAAGAGAAATTTCATGTTCAATTGGGAAACCGATCCTCGTTTTTCTGGCATGTGTGGAGGCCACCATCTTGAATTCAAGATGGCAGCCTCCAGCACAACGAAGATGGGTTTCCAAATTGAAGGTGAAATTTCTCTTTTCTTTCCAAAGGTATGTGAACCTAACCACCACCATTTGTATTTTTAATTCCCACTGAAGCATACGGCAGTTTGAAGACTGTTTTGGGGGTACGAGTGAAAATGGTAAAAAAAAATTATTGGTAAATGCGATACGGCTATTGATCTCAAACTCTACTATCCCCTGACCATGTCCAAATGTTAGAAAAGCAATTCGTAGAATCCTAGTTACTCAGACTACCTACCTTGGTGCTTGGCGTTTCCTTCACTTTCTTCCTTTCAGTTTCACTTCCGTCTTCTTTTCCACTGACCTTTTCGTTCTTTACTTCCTTTGTCATTTTTCTAAAAACAACTTCTAAATCAGTGGTTCTCACTTCTCTGCTGTTTTGCACCCTGCTGCACTGGCCGCACATATGCCAATGTCAAACCCAACTGTTCCTTGCTCATAGATCTAGAGGGGAGATACAACGAATGTCAGACAATACTAAAGTGAAAATGCATAGTTTGGGTAAAAAAAATATATATTTAGGGCATATGAAATAAATTGTCTAATGCTTGCATGAACGGTATCGAACTGCATGCGCACCGTGAAGCGGGTACGTGAAGCGCAGCAAAAACGATGTCACCATGCACGGCACGGCCACGTCAACCGGCACAAGGGCGCACAGGCCCGGCAGCAAAAACGATGTGCACGGACAATCACGCTGCGCTATATCAGCTCTGTTATGCAGCATTAAAGGCAGATATCCAAAGTACATGTACCTCTTACTCTACAGGGCATCCTGAACAAAATGGTGCATGTAAACCCCTCCATTTTTGCTAATTTACAACCAAATTTTCTGCGGATATTTACACCATCTTCAAGGTAATAGATTAATAGATAGAGAATACCATTTGTTTCACTGAGATTGCTTTAAAAATGTTTGAATAATGGCAAAGCCAAGAAACTCGTTTTGTGCCACTTTCTGTAAGCAGTTAAAATCAGTCTTAGTCTAAAACCAAATCACTTTACTGTTAGTGATTTTAACACGTTTAAGCAGAGTGTGCAATATTCATTTATATTCAATTGAACTCTTTCATTGAAGTTTCAAAGAAGTGAGCCCGTCTGTACAATTAAATTGTTTCAACATAAGAACAAAACCCTATACTGTCGTGTGAATGGAATGTTTGTCATTCACCCATAGGGATAATCTTATCAAAAGAGCCATACTGGCATTGTCTGATCTTTGAAGCACTCGCTTCCTAAAAGTGGCACAGAATGGTTTTCTTGGCTTTGCGGTTATTCAAACATATCTCTGGCTTTACAATTTAAGCAATCTTAATTAAACAAAGGGTATTCTCAAGCTAAATCTTTAACCTTGAAGATCGTGTAAACATTTGAAGTAATTTCCGGTTGTAAATTGGCAAAAATGGCAGGGTTTACATGCCCCATTATTTCCAGGGCACCCTGTATAAGGTTGAACCCCAGTGTTCAATAGTTTGTATGGAAATGGGATAGCAATCATAGCACCATCATTTTCTAAACTAAATCAGCTAAACCTGATCATCTCATCCAGCAACCCCCTGCCCTAGCTATCAACCCAATGATCAAAGCCGAGCATGGCAAAAAATACCCGGCCCAAAAACATGCGAGTCGACTTGTCTGCTCAACAGGCGACTTTTCTCCACCATAGAGCAAGGAACAGACGACTTGTCTTGTGCCTACGGTGCTATAGGATCTTTGATTTAACCATGTGTTTAATAGCTCCATGATTTAATACACATATACAATTTAATGCACATATACATCAACACTGGAGTGTCCATAGGGTATGGTACAGTACGTACGTACGCTGACCTGTTTCCCAGACCTGACAACTATTCCCGACGCTCACGTCAGATTCATCAGAAATAGTCAGAATCTTTTGGTCTGGGAACCAGACTACATGTAGGTGCCACTTACAGCAAGTAGGTAACGCGCATGACACTATAAAGGTAAATTAACACTTGAATTATAGGAAATCTGGTGTAAAATGCGAGCAGAATTTTCATTGATGAAGGAAAAAAAACATAAGGCCAAAAAAAAAAAGTCTCCAGTTTCTGGTATGGAGCTTGCCCAAAAAGTGGTGCGGCGACACGGCTTTTTTTTTTTTACCTGTTTTTTGTTTTTGTTTCAAATGTCGGCTGATGACTGCAAATGGTGCCCGAGTAAACTTAGTGCAAATATATGGGAGTCCAGAGAGGCCACATAAAGCTTATTCTCAATCATAACCCCATCTAAAAATACGTTAAAATTGTGCAGCAGCAGGATTCCAGTCAAACGAGTGAGTTTGGCGGTTTGAGACATCATCTTTCATTGAAAAAAACAAACTTTTTCATTTTGCCGACGAGCATGGCTACGGCAACGCGCGCGCATACCAGAAACCGGAGACTTTTTTGGGGGGCCTAAAAAGACGAATACACAGAGAAATGAATTAAAAACAAGAAAAGTAGTGTTAAAAAACACAAATGCCCTGCAACCATGCCTATTTCCATCACATAACACCACTCTGTTAACATCAACTTTAATACCTGGGTCGCATGGAACATTCATTGACGTCGTTATTGTTTTCTTTAGGCTATATATGTAATGTATTGATGCCAATGATCCCATAATGATTTTTTGGTTTTTTGCTTCTCTGTTGGGAAGTCATTGTATGTGATTGAAGCAAACTGACTGGATATTTTCAGTCTTAAGCAGGACATTTCTCAAAGGCAAACATGGAAATAAGAATTTTTAAATAATCAAAAGAAACTAGAGGTTGTAGGAACAACCACACGGTGTTGGGCCATGGACTACCGCAAACTTTTCAAAACACATCAACTCAAAATGCATGTTTTAATCCATGTTTTATTTAGTCAACATGCCGCTAGAGGGCGCTGTCACATTTTATGACGTCACCTGTAATATTTTTGTAAAGTATAGCCTAGGCAGAAATTCACATCATTGAAAGCAAGTGCACATCTTTTGCCAATTTCAAATTACAAGGCACTTCCGGTTTCGACCGGAAGGAAGGGTCACATGATTTTGCACTTAATACCAAAAATGAAGACCCTGCAATATTGTATCGATTGTAATAAAAAACAAAATCAAATCTGTAGCAGTTTATTTTATATTGATTTTTAAAGATTAAATATGGAAATCTTTATTTGCTTGTAATACGACACTTGATGACGTCATTGTGACGTCATGGCCAGAAACCTCCAGAGCTATATTAACTGTACTACATATAGCCACATCTTGATTTTATAATAATTTAGGAGGCTAATCATCCTTACTCGCAGCTGGTATGCTGAATTGCAAAGGACGCGGCTACAACGTGGTCGGGCCGCTGGCACGTAAAGGCGCCTATGGCTGCCGGCCACATTGACCCATATATGACCACGGAGCACAGCCTGAGATCGAAAGTGTTTGATTTTTCCAGAGGGAGGAAAATCGGAGGGCCCGGAGAAAAACCCACGTGGCACAGAAGAGAACCAACGCACAACTCTACTCACATGCGATCCACGGCCAGGATTCGAACCGTGGTCACCTTGGTGAGAGGCGAGCGCTTTACGCACAAGCCACCCATGCCACCCATTTTATCTGTCACGGTTGATGTTTTACCAATTGTTTAAGGTTTAAAGGTCTTTTCTTTATAACTTCCGGTATGATGACGTAATCAATTTTTTTTCGCGCACAGGTCTTTTCTGCATTAAGTTCATCATGTATATTAAGTTTGAAGCGATTACCACAAATTTGGCCACATACATGTACATCAAGTGATAATGTGTTTTTGACGTTTTTTAACCTGCCGCTAGAGGGCGCTCTAACATTTTATGACGTCACCTGTTATATGCTTTTGAAGAACAGCCTAGGCAGACACTAACATCGTTGAAAGCGAGTTCGTATCTTCTGCCAATTTCAATTTATAAGGCACTTCCGGTTTCAACCGGAAGGAGGGGTCACGTGATTTTGCACTTAATACCAAAAATGAAGACCCTGCAATATTGTATCGATTGCCATAAAGAACAAAATCAAATCTGTAGCAGTTGATTTTACATTGATTTTCAAACATTAAATCTAGAAATCTTTGATTGCTTTTAATACGACACTTGATGACGTCATTATGCCGTCATTACCAGAAACCTCCAGAGCTATATTTACTGTGCTGTATACAACCAAATCTTGATTATATCTATCACGGTATATTTTCTAGCAATTTCTTAAGATTTAAAGGTCTTTTTATTGTAACTTCCGGTCTGACCGTAATCCAATTTTTTTTCGCGCACAGGTGTTGTCTGCATTATGGTCATCATGTACATTGATTTTTAGGCGATTACCGCAATCTTCGCCACAGACATCAGGTGAAAATGTGTTTTTGACGTTTTTTAACCTGCCACTAGAGGGCCCTCTAACATTTTATGACGTCAACTGTAATATGCTTCTGAAGTACAGCCTAGGCAGACACTCACATCGTTGAAAGCGAGTTCGTATCTTCTGCCAAAAAAGAAGGATTTGCTGAGAATATGCTGAGAAGAACAAAAACAGTAAATTCTTACAAAACAAATAGGTGTTGGGCTCAAGGCCCAACACCTAAATATGGTTTATATTTGAATAAGCGAGTTATCATTATGACATCATTTCTTTGGTTTTTAATAATGAGAACAGTTGGCCAGCGGGGCATAAAAAGCCATGAAGTTAAGCTTTTGTGGTTTTATTTTTTTTTTTAATAAATTGGTTGCTACCGTGTAAAAATGCTTTTTTTTTCGCTCGTACCCCCCGCCCTGCAAACAGGACGCTGGGATACTCTGATGAATTCACGCTCTGATTGGTTGGATTTTGCGTGACCAGTGCTTTGTGATTATAATTTATCATTGGCAACGTTATTACAATTTATAGAGCTGGAAGTTTAATCTAAGTTATATGATTTTTGTAACTCTTGTTTTGTGAGTTAAGCTAGGTTTATACTATGTTCCCAGCGGCCACGGCAATCCCGTTTCTGGCCACCGTGGACAAAACGGTATGGACGTGAGACAACACCGGGGGACGGGATGGGCAAACGTGACAGTCTGTGATTGCCGTGGATGCCAGGCCAGATTTTTAAACTGTCAAAAAAATTTGCCACGGCAGTCACGGTGCGGATGAGAAACCTAGTAGGCCGTAGTAAAACGGGGTGAATGCGAAAGTACGTGATAGGCCGTAACAAAACTTGGAGACGGTCCGTAGTGGGACGGGAAGCATGTGCATTCCCCGGCATCTCACGGTCCTTTCAAGTTTTGTCACGTTCTGCCACGTTTAGCAGGCGTTTTGTCACGGTTGCTGTGCGTTTTGTCCCGTTTTACTTAGTTTCTCACGGCAAGCTAGGATGTACGGTAGCCGTTTTGTCGCGTTCAATCACGGCGCGTCCAGATGTGTGATGGTTTACAGGCCAGGTGCGATGCGGCGCGTTGCGTTCTACTACGGTCTGATACGGCGAGCGCGGTCTGGGAGGGAGTAGAGAAGCATACAATGATTGCTATTGCTTGGGAGGCCTTCTTTTCATACCGTGGGCACAAACTTGCTCCGAAGCTGCCCGGCGTACACGTACACTTTCAATACAGGAACCTTAAGCCAAGTCTGATTCGATTAACCCTAACTCCCTAGGCCTTTTTGCTAGGATGTAGCCTCAATCCTGCAAAATCCTCCAATTGGCCTCATGGAAAAATAGCATATAGCCTCAATCCTGCAAATTCCTCCCCTATTTCTTGAATATGGTCCATGGAGGGGTGACCACTGCCTGAATCCTGCAAAATCCTCCGGCTACGACTGTCAATAGGCCGAGGCAGAGGCAGTGACATCCTGGAGCAGTGCGGAGGATGTCAAGTATAATCAAGGGCTAAATTTATGCACGGCTGAGCATAAACAACACAAGGTCCGGCCCAAGACCTTGACACAGTGCGTACTCCGAAATCAGCAACCCACTTTTGCCATGTAACCTCAATCCTGCAAATTCCTCCAATTTGCAAAAAGGATTTTGGAGGATTCAGGGCGGTTAGGGTTGAAACATTGTACATGCAAAGTCCGGGATGTGTTATTGATTAAAAAAATATATAATGCTGAAAAGCTCTATGTTCTGTTGCAAACAGACATAGGCCTAGGAATTTCTAGTGTTTTTCTAAGAATTTCTCATCACGGCCCATATTTTCAAATATTTTACTCAGGGTCGACAGTGTATGAAAAAAACATTGGCAGTAATTTGTTATTTAAGGACACAAATGGGAATATTGGTAGTTTCGTTGCAACGAAATTAGGAATTTTCTTAGGGATAAGTGCGCGCACAGGGCCGGCAAAAGCGATGTCACCGTGCATGGTACGGACAAGTTGAGCGGCAAGTGGGCGCACAGGCCCGGCAAAAACGATGCCACCGTGCACGGTACGGCCACATTGACCGGGGATAAGTGCACCCAGGCCCGGCAAAAACGAACGATGTGCACGGACAATCACACTGCCCTATATCGGCTCTGTTATATGCCAGTTTTTGCAACTAAAGGCAGATAGGCCTATCTAATGCCCAATGTACCTCTTAGTTTACAAGGTCAAGGTATTTGAAGAAAACCCCAGTTTTTAATTACATATGTCATGTGCTTAGTTTGAATGGGATAGCACCATCATTTTCCTAAACTAAAGCAGCTAAACCTATCATCTCGCCCAGCGGCAACCCCAGCCGTATATCCAGCCTGAACAATAAAAAAAATATCATGTATCGTAACTCCCAAACGGCAACCAGCCAAACGGCGATCAGCCGCCGTCAAAATCCCCGGTACTATCCCAAAAACATGCGAGTCGACTTGTCTCAACGGTCGACTTGTCTCAACAGTCGACTTGTCTTTCCATTTATCGCACATACGATCGAGTTGTCTCAACGGTCGAGTTGTCTCAACGGTCGACTTGTCCCGAGTCGAGTTAATTGTCTCAACGGTCGACTTGTCTAAACCCCGGCCCAGTCAAGCTATGTCAAGCTAGGGTTTTACTTGAACGAAGTGGCTATCGTTGCGGCATTCGTTGTTTAGCGCCCTCAACGATACTTTTTTGATACGTACGCAGGTATATATTATAATTATTTGTTTTCCCATGTTTTGGTGAGCAGTGCGACAGCTCAGTCGATAGTGGGTAGGATTTTGCACCGCGAGGTTGCGGGTTCGCATCTCAGTTTTGCACTCGAATTTTTTTCCTTTTCTAACCTGAGGATTTTTTAAAAGGGAAATAAAGTCCGAATTTCATAATGTTCAAATTCACTTTTTTCCTTCTAATTTATATTTTCTTCTCATGTTTTTATAAAAGTTGCAGTACTTTTGTTGCACTACAGTTGCAGTAATGATAGAAAATGGGAAATGCGTTACGGCTGCCGTAACTAACAATAGCCACTGTGTAGCTCTACTGAGTGGAGCGCTGAATTACGGGTACCCCTCCATACTAGCTAGTATGAGGGGTACCCGTAATTCAGCGCTCCACTCAGTAGAGCTAGCCACTGCGTAGCCCCATAAATGTGGCCTATTTACTGGACTGCCTCCGTAAACATAGGCCACACATCCACATGTACAAAAATCGTGTCGACTTTGCCAAATTTTGATTTTCACATTTAGGCTTACTTTGTAGGTTTTTTTTGCTTTAGAAGCATTCTCACCCTCTATATAGGCTAGTCAGAAAGTGCTGCCTTTTTCAGATGTATATTTTTCGTGAAATTTCCAGATTCATTTTTACACGTTTGCGTAGCTGGAGTTACCCAGCCCTGAGTTTTATCATTGGGTTGTCTATAAGGGCTGGAGCGAATTTTTCTCGTAACTTGTAGTATTTGCAAAAAATTTTGGAAAATGTTCAATTTTGTCCCCGTTACACACTAATTGCAACTGCAACTCACCCCAAACTTGCCTGGAATAACCATTACACAGGTCCTTGAAGTAAAAAACGATCCACAATGAAGATTCAGCCTACAATTGCAGTGAAAACAGGAGGAATAACCGCTAACTTGACAACCTTGCTGGATTGGCCAGGACCGCCATTGGTTTGTGCACAAAAAAATTGTGTACAATGAATGGCGGTCGATTAACAGGCACAGAGAGAGCGATCGCTGTCAACTACTCATTTTTGCCGGCTGCGCTGGCTGATGGCGCGTGACGTCACGCGGAAGCGTAACACCCGATGACTGTTTCATGCACTAATATGAGGTTTACCACTCGCATCACAGCTTTGGTACTGGAACCGCAACCAATAGTGCATGAAACAGTCATCGGGTCATACGCTTCCGCGTGACGTCATGCGCCAACAGCCAGCGCAGCCGGCAAAAACGAGTAGTTGACAGCGATCGCTCTCTCTGTGCCTGTTAATCGACCGCCATTCATTGTACACAATTTTTTTTGTGCACAAACCAATGGCGGTCCTGGCCAATCCAGCAAGGTTGTCAAGTTAGCGGTTATTCCTCCTGTTTTCACTGCAATTGTAGGCTGAATCTTCATCGTGGATCGTTTTTTACTTCAAGGACCTGTGTAATGGTTATTCCAGGCAAGTTTGGGGTGAGTTGCAGTTGCAATTAGTGTGTAACGGGGACAGAATTGAACATTTTCCAAAAATTTTTGCAAATACTACAAGTTACGAGAAAAATTCGCTCCAGCCCTTATAGACAACCCAATGATAAAACTCAGGGCTGGGTAACTCCAGCTAACGTTTGCGTATCAAAATTTCAACATGAAATTTCACAAAAATTAGACATCTGAAAAAGGCAGCACTTTCTGACTAGCCTATAAAGAGGGTGAGTATGCTTCTAAAGCAAAACAATCCTACAAACTAAGCCTAAATGTGAAAATCAAAATTTGGCAAAGTCGACACGATTTTTGTACATGTGGATGTGTGGCCTATGTTTACGGAGGCAGTCCAGTAAATAGGCCACATTTATGGGGCTAGCCACTGCGTTACTTGAAATTGAAGCGATCCGGAACTAGGAAAACGACTGTATTTCACAAGTATTATCTTGATGAGGATTGATACCTCTAGGGTGGGTTGAAATTTCTCAAATGTCAAACAAAAATGTGAAATTTACCAGAATTTCGTTCACCACGATCACACTTCACAGTACTTCAATAAGTTCGTGCAAGAGTCTGGCTCTCGGCCGCAGGGTGACCGTAAGGTAAGAGCCAAATTCTGCTAAATGCACATCAAAAATCTGTCACTTTGTCAGATTTATAAAAAATCTGCTAAATTAACATATTATGAGCACCACCCCCAAAACCTCACATGGACGATTAACCAAGGCGTATAGTGGCCGCGTGAGGTCGCTGTTCGCGCTGTATTTTTAATGCACTGTACTGCATGCATAGCGCATAGACTAGACATTATGACTGCATGCATTACCGCGCTACGGCCGGTGTGGCAGGTAATTCTGTCCCCCCTGGTAAATGTGTCCCCGGACAGATCGCGACCCGGTAAATCTGTCCGGGGGGACACATTTACCTAGGTAAATCTGTCCCCCTCCCTGGTAAATATGTCCCCCTGCCCAACGTTGAAAGTTTCCCCCTGGTAAATGTGTCCCCGTGCAAGTATCACCATGGAGCTCAATGGTACAGTCGTGTTCCCTAACGTGGCGCACTTCGAAGCTTACCCAAATTTCCTCGTGTAGTGTTGCCAAACCTCTTTGTGGACAAACCTCAAATTCATGCAGTGGAATACTGGTACTTTTACCTTATTAATGCTTGCTGTTTAACCTCTGTGAACAATTTCGGTTTCATAAAATTTAAGCCGAAATTAAAAAACGGTGGCGTCCGGAAATTGGGCACAATTTGGCGGAGTGTTCTCTAACGTGGCGCACTTAAATAAATCTCGGAAAATTCCAAATTAACATTTAAGAATTTCTGTAAACTCGATAAATTCTGATAAATCATTATTATCTCTACCTACATACCCAGCCAGATGTTTGTCACAAAATTATTTTCTTATTTTTCGGGGCATTTTCAAAGGGTTCACTTTGCACTTGAAAATAAAATCGGAAAAATCACGCCAAAATATTTATTTTTTTTAACTTTGTAGCGGGTAAATAAACTCGCGATTTATGAACGGGAGTGTTTATAACTTGATGAAATTTCACTTTCTGTGAAATTTCAGTTAAAACTTTTGCTCTAGCTAGGCGCTACAGGCGAAAAATCAAAGTGCGCCACGTTAGGGGCCGCGCCACGTTAGGGTACATCAACAATATCACCCATGCGATGATACGAGTCGTGTTCGTGAGCGAGCATCGCCTTAAGTACATGCTGCAAGATTTGTGGCAGTGTTTATCGCATGTGTACATAATGCTATCCCGCTACACTAAGGAAATTCATCCAATAGGAAATTCTACGGTGGCCGCTGTATTTTCACCGTACTCAGTCCGAATCGATCGAAACATTGTGTTCACATTTCACATCTAAGAAAGAGACCAAAAAGTTAATTGTTTTCATCTTCATGAAGGTCAGACTAAAAAGTAAAAAATGTATACCCTGTTTGTAGACTGAATTCATCAAAACAATATAGAGAACTGGCCTTCTGCGTTGCATGCAAAACTAGGGGGACAAAAAAACCTGGAGGGGACCAAGGGCGGATCCAGAACACAATTTTAGGGGGGGCCAAAAAAAATTTGGTCCCCCAAAAATGTGGGTCAAAAAAATTACGGCGTGGGGTTCGGGGCCCCCTTAAGGGCCCCGAAAAATTTTTGGATTCTAGATGCTCTGTGGTGCGATCTGAGGCAATTTCTGACCACTTTAACCAATGTTTTTTTGAGGAAAAGATGGTGGTGTACTCATTGCCTGCCTTTATTGCGATGTCACATAAAAAAAAAAAAATTGGTTTCGTTTTTTTTTTTTTTGGGGGGGGGGCCATGGCCCCCTTTGGCCCCCCCCCCTGGATCCGCCCTTGGAGGGGACAGAATTACCTGAAGGGGGACAGAATTAACGGGCCGGGGAGGACACTTTTACCTAGGTAATAATTCTGTCCCCCCGGACACTTTTAACGGGGGACAGAATTACCGTCCACACCGGTGTGGAAGGTAATCCTGTCCTCCGGTAAAAGTGTCCGGGGGGACACAATTACCTAGGTAAAAGTGTCCTCCCTGGCCCGTTGATTCTGTCCCCCTCCAGGTAATTCTGCCCCCTCCAGGTAATTCTGTCCCCCAGGTTTTTTCCCCCCTCTTTTGAAACCCGGAAGGTTATTGTTTTGATGAATTCACTCTACAAGGTATACATTTTGGACTTTTAGTCTGCCCTTCATGAATATACAAAATAATTAATTTAGTCTATTAGGTGATACGTGAACACAATGTTTCGATTCGGAGTACGGTGAAGTCTATTGCGATTCTACCGCGATAGGTCAACACAGTGGCGATGCATGGCGATGGCCCTCGTCTCATTGATAGTATGATACAACGTCTCCTTGGATTGGTCTGTGTTCCCATCATAGCGCTAACGAAATTTCCTATTGGACGAATTTCCATTGTAGAGGGAGACGCATGTACACATGTTATAATCACTGCCTCAAATCCTGCAGCATGTACTGGCGCGTGCGACACGCTGCTGCTCGCGTAATTTTTTTTCCTAGGAGGGTTAGGGGCAATGTCATGAATAATTCAGTTTTTCCTTTGAATCATTGCAAGACTTAGGTTCTCGTTCTATTTTCCCCTCAATTTAAAATTATCTCAGTGATAAATTTGGAGAAGAAAAATAGTTGATGAAAATGAGCAGCAACGACGTGGATTCGAACCAGGGATCTTTGTATCTATAGCTCATCTCGCTATCCACTAGGCTACTGTGTGGTAGCTTGACGACAACCGTTCTTAAAAATGCTTAAATGTATTGAAACTAGTTGAGTAACTAACAACAATGCTGTTGATGTCATTGTCCGTTCTCGTGGATAAACATGAATTATTCATGACATTGCCCCTAACCCTCCTAGGAATAAAAATTACGCCTGCTGCTCTCAGTACATACTACATGGGGACACATTTTCCAGGGGGACACTTTCACCGTTGGGCAGGGGGACATTTTTACCTGGAGGGGGACAAATTTACCTAGGTAAAAGTGTCCCCCGGACACATTTACCGGGTTACGAGCCGGTAAATGTGTCCGGGGGGACACATTTACCAGGGGGGACAGAATTACCTGTCACAACGGATAAAAAAAAAACTATGCAAGCTAGGGTTTGAAGCTTTTTAAAACTAGTGTAGGCCTGCACCTTTTTGTTCAAATTTGCTGGTTTTTTTTCTCTGTCAAACAACCATTTTTGCAGAAATCTGTAAAAAAAAATCCATTCTGTCAAATTTTCTGTCAAACTCGTTAACAAAAATTCTGTCAAAGTTAGCCGACAATCGGCTAAAACGGTCATCCTACTCGGCCGTCTCATCGTTTACCATCGACTGAGGGCGCTATGCTCTTGACCGGCCAAAGCGCCCTCAGTCGACGGTAAACGATGAGACGGCCGAGTGTATACGGGAGACTTATCCATGTCATCCTGCATGTCCTGCCTGCATGTCCTGTGATCGTGGTGAACGAAATTCTGGTAAACTTCACATTTTTGTTTCAGTCCTCATCAAGATAATACTTGTAAAATATGGTAATCCTTACTTTTAGGACACCTCTATTTTGTACGAGTTCTGTTCAAAACTGACTTTTGCAGATGACTGTCCAGTACCAAACTAAAGTTTGGTAGGCCTACACAGTCAATTGACCAGTTCCGCAATTTGACCGGGTGTCGGACGCTTCGCCCCATTTCCACGTCGCCCCATGTCACTTCGCCCCTAACCACTTCGCCCCATCCCCACTTCGCCCCATCCCCACATCGCCCCATCTCCGCTTCGCCCCATCCCCACTTCGCCCCATCCCCGCTTCGCCCCATCCCCACTTCGCCCCATCCCCACTTCGCCCCATGTAGTATAAAAAAGGGAAGGCTAGGGGTGCAGACCAAATAAACTGCCAAAGACCCCAGATAATAAATGCTCCCAATTCTAGAAACTCAGGAAAAATACAAACTCTCTGATGAGGTGCTCGAGACACAGATGAGAGAAATGATGGCTTAAATAAAATCATCAGCCGCTGGATTCAAAAGAATCCCGTAGGTATGGGTCAGTGAGTTCAAAGGAACTCACTGCCTTGAGGAAAATGTTCCGTCAAAATTTGTCTGATATGTGAGACTTACAACTTCATTGATGAGATTGGTTCCTCCAAGAGTGAAATTAGGATGTCAAAGGTATTGTCGTTCTCAGATAAGTGGGAGACGGGTTGGTATAGCCGGGTTGGGAACAAAGTTGGATCTTTTACTTCAAGCTTTTTTCTCGGTAGGGGAGAGCCTAGCTTGAGAGGTTGGTTATGAATTGTTCATTTGGTGATGGGCTAATTCTTTCCGTTGGTTAGCAATTAGTGAATCTATTGAAATAGTTTTTTTTTAAGCCAAAAAAATAGATGAGATTTTTTTTTTTACATGTAACGGCTGGGGCGAAGTGGGGATGGGGCGAAGTGGGGATGGGGCGAAGTGGGGATGGGGCGAAGTGGGGATGGGGCGAAGTGGGGATGGGGCGATGTGGGGATGGGGCGAAGTGGGGATGGGGCGAAGTGGTTAGGGGCGAAGTGACATGGGGCGACGTGGAAATGGGGCGAAGTGTCCGACATTCCTCACCGGTTCCGAAATTTCAGAAAACTAGCTCTCGTTTTCAGGAAGACGAAAACGCCAAGGACTTAAACTTTGGTACCGATGGAAAGGTTATTCAATCTACTTTTCAAAAATGGTTTTAGTTTTAGGATACTCACTTACATTTAAAAATAAATCCCCTACGACCGTCACTTGCCGTTAACGAACTGCCGAAATGGAACGCGCACGGAAGCGTGATTTCATGTTTGTCGGCCTGCTATAGTCCGAGTAACTTGGACCCAACTTATCGCCATTTTAAAAATTTGGACATGGTCTGGCGATAGTAGGGTCCAAGCCCATTCCTCGACCTAGACAACACAGTCACTGACAGTCCCAAAAACCAACATTTTCCAACAAAAAACATCAGATTTCACCTTCAAAACGGCCTCCAAATTACTAGATATGTCACCTGAGGTACAAGTAGACATAGATGATTAAGATGGTTGTACTTAAGTTTACTTACGATCCGGAAAAAAGTGAAATTTTCCGTTCAATTCTGGAGACCCCCTCTGCCTAGGTTGTCGTTGTTGTGCTCACGTTCAAAACTGCATGATAATGGCGTGTGACCTCGACCTCATGCAAATGTGGTGCGGCGCGCTTGCGCATAATGCACATAATGCAGCATACACGGCAGATTCCCCTGCGCCGCGCCGACGACTGTTTCCTGATGTAGAGCGCTGTGTAAGTTCGCGGTACGCCTGGCTAGCCAGCGCGACTCCCAGGCGTACCGCGAACTTACACAGCGCTCTACATCAGGAAACAGTCGTCGGCGCGGCGCAGGGGAATCTGCCGTGTATGCATGCAGTGCATTATGCGCAAGCGCACCGCACCACATTTGCATGAGGTCGAGGTCAGACGCCATTATCATGCAGTTTTGAACGTGAGCACAACAACGACAACCTAGGCAGAGGGGGTCTCCAGAATTGAACGGAAAATTTCACTTTTTTTCCGGATCGTAAGTAAACTTAAGTACAACCATCTTAATCATCTATGTCTACTTGTACCTCAGGTGACATATCTAGTAATTTGGAGGCCGTTTTGAAGGTGAAATCTGATGTTTTTTGTTGGAAAATGTTGGTTTTTGGGACTGTCAGTGACTGTGTTGTCTAGGTCGAGGAATGGGCTTGGACCCTACTATCGCCAGACCATGTCCAAATTTTTAAAAAGGCGATAAGTTGGGTCCAAGTTACTCGGACTAGGCCTGCTACATGATTGTTCAGGGGAATTAAATCATGGCGATAGATGCAACTTGTTCGGAAATTATTCATTATTCATTATTCATTATTCCACCATATAAGATTTGAAGTCTTTGAATTTTGTTTTCTATACCCACCAGAGTAACTGCTGGCCGTTTGGCCGGTTCCGCAAACGCATTCATACTGCCTATACAATACACTGGCCATGGTGTGCACTGTATTAACCGGTGCTGCTATTGACAAGTATTGTTGATGACGGCCCCCTAGCGCGGCGCACTTTATTTATTTTGGCATGAATTTTTTTTGTTTACAACTTACAAAGAAATTGAGAATTTCCATTAATCCTTGTTTAAAATGTCGAATTTGATGATCATTTCTGGGTGTTCAGTGCAAAAAATTGAAAACTAAATTGAAACAAAATGATTTTGTTTCTGTCCAGCTTCCGGACAGCACTGTAGGTTTTGGATAAAAAAAATTCGGACTTCAAAATTTAAAATACAAAAATCTTTCTTAATACAGTCGACTCCCGTTATAACGAGCTTGGTCATAACGATAACCCGGATGTAACGAGCACATTCTCCCAGTCCCGAACAATTTGTGTACATTACTATGGGGAAATATTTGGTTATTACGTGCACGGACATAACGAGACTTCGGCTATTACGACGATTTCGGCTGACCCAATGCGAGGAAAAGCATTGTTCTCAACCCATTTACAACGACATCTTTTCAAAACTACGGGCATTGCAGCTTGTCAACGACAGACCTTTTGTCCCGAAACGGGTATCATGCTCCCGTCTTCCAATTCAAGCAACACACTTAAGCTTCACCCATCAATGTACCTTTGTAAAGACTTCAACCCAACGTTATTTCATCTCGCCGAACTTTATAAATAAATTAAATGGGACTGTGATAATCGGCGCAGTGGACCGCTGGTCTAGTCGCTAACCCCCCGCTGCGGTTTCCCTTAGCGTGACCAGGTTTGAAGTTTGCTTACGACTGCGGTACCACGTTTCTATATTATTACAAACTAACAATAGGGGGCGCTCAGGAGTTAAGTGTTAACATTGTAAGGAATAGCCTTTAGTACTATCGCCCGAACATCGGGTGCGTAATTGCTCCCTATTGTTGGCTTGTGGCTATAAAAAAAAACCGAAGTAAAGAACACAGCATCACAAAACAAGTGGCTCTGAAAAGAGATAATTCCAAAAAGAGATAATTCAGTCTGTCTTCAAAAAATAAAGTTTAAAACATACCGTGGTTCCCACCCCCAAAAAAGAATCCGAAGAATAAAAAAATAAAAATCTTAAACAAATTAAGAACCCCTCCGGCCCCGCCGAAAAAAAAATCCCAATGAAAACAGGTTTCCAAGATCTTCAAACGCCCCACCACATATACATTGTACAAATTTTAATCCAAAATTATTACTTTTGTTTATTTATTATTATTATCTTAAAAGAATCCCTCCCGACAAACAATAATCACCAATTGCTGCGAAATTACACATGGAGACACTTAAACCCGGAAGTAATATTAGCGCCCTCTCTTGCCCGATTCCAGCAAATGCAAAATGAAAGCAAAATGTCACTCGGCACGATTTGGGCGAGTGACCTACTTGCCTGATTCTTCTCAGCGATGATGCCTTTTCCTCCGGATTCAGGTCCTCAAATATTGAACAATGTTCCCTCAAAGGTATTTTATTCATCACCATCAGTTAAATATTTAATATACATTATTAACAGACTTACATACCAACAAATGACCATCTTTTCATGTCTTCGGACGTGCGTTACACGATTAAAACATGCACGCACATGTACCGTACCTTGTGCACAACGAATGGGGAAAACTGCGCTCCGGTTTTAGCGAGGTTCCGGCTATAACGACAGTATTGTGAAAGTCCATCGGACCTCGTTATAACGGGAGCCGACTGTAGTGAGCAAAATTCCCACTAAACGTTTTTCCTTTGCTCTAAAAAAATTCAGCCCATACTTGATGTTGAAGCGGTTGTGCCTCAGGGGTTTGGATTCATTTTAGAGTTACAACTCTCCACATCCAGGGTGCATGAGTCAGCCCAGGCTAGGAGGTGAGGTTTGTGGGGAACAATTAAGAATAGTGCATAATAATATGGAAAATAAAACGCAGGTGTGTTTCTAACCCAAAGGACATTTCCAGTAATTTAGTAAATTTAAAATTATCCTTTTTCAGTGGGTTCTAACCTTACTCTTTACCCTTTTAAACAAAAAGAAAAATAGGTCCACTAATATTTCATAATGAAGACCAGTCTCTCGTCAGTACAGAGACACAAATTTTGATTGTTTTCTTGGAGCACAAAATTTATTATTATATGACAGGTATATTTTTGGATTTAAAAGGGGTAGCTTCTTGAGTGCTTTAGTTTTGTATTACATTTACACATGCAGGTATCACATGTCAATATATTGAAAGGGTTATCGGGATGTACGTGATGAATGTGTTGACATTTTCTTTTACAGAGTTAATATGTGCAACAACGTATGAGGAGTAACTGAACATTATAATTAGAAATTGCCATTGCTATGAAACAGCCATGGGATTTATGACATTTTTAACAATTTGTTTTAATTTGTTTGTGAAATTTAATTTGAATGTGAAACAATATGTACATGTATGTGGCCTGTATGTATCTGGCCTGCTGAGGCCTGTTCCCCCTCCCCTCCCGGCCCCCAGGTTCCCCCTACTGGATGTTGGTGCACACAAAATTAAGCATATTGTGTTTTTACCCTGAACAAATTGAAACACTCCCCCCCCCCCCCCCCCCCCACAAAAAATAAGTAAAATGAAAAAAAAGGAGGAGGGAATAAACAAAAGTAAATAAATAATAATATTAAATAAACAAATAATATTAATAAACAGTGCTCCCCTGCAGACAATGATTCAGTTCCAATTCATCCAGCCATGCAGTCACTTCCTTAAGTGTCATAGGAATTAAAAATGATCCTGGAGAAAATATTAATTCAAATTCATAAATAGCTGGTCTGTGCTTATGTGAGAAAAAAACAACCAACTGGAGCAATTCGGTACAAGGTTTGTGTCTGGTTCTATCCAAAGTCAGAGTGTGTCTAAATCAGAATAAGACAACAAAAAAGAAAAATATTAGTGATTGCAAGATGATAGACAGAATGCACAAAAAGCAAGAAAGTCATTTAATTGGATTGAAGCAAGTCAAATAATTATAACGTAAAAAAAGATCCAACGAACCATAACAACTTCATGGAGTTACATTTTGTAAACTTGGACGCATTATAATGTGCAGACCTTGGCTCATGCACAGGGAAATAAAATCCACATCTTTTCTTGGCTGGTTTGGGGGCAAAAACGATCTAGATTTGGCCAGTAAACAAGGAATATTTTCAGTCCAGTCTCGCAGAGGGCGCCGTTTGCGAAACCGGAAAACATTTGCGGAACTGGTCAAAGCATCGACCTCTACAAAATGTCCTGGCAAATTTCTCTTTCAAACGATCGCAGAAAACTATTCATATCATGAAGTAGGTGAGTAATTTGCGCATATTTATAGATAGGTAGCTTCCTGTGAAAGCACGTTTTTTTTGCCACAAGACGCTTCAGACGATTTGCGATTGCAGAACCGGTCAATTGACTGTACTGGACAGTCATCTGCAAAAGTCAGTTTTGAACAGAACTCGTACAAAATAGAGGTGTCCTAAGTGACTTTTGCAGGCTAGCAGTCTTTTTTCTTCATATAATTTATAAACTCATGTTAGTTGTAATTTTGAAAGCACAAAATGTGACTTTCCTACCTTTTTTCGCAGTCAGACGTGCATGTTGTAGTTCTCACACGCGTAAAAGCCCTACATAATGAAAGCCCTACATAATGAAAGCCCGATGCTGATTGGCTGCTAAAAAAAATAAATAAGATGTTTTTTTTTTTCAGCCAATCAGCATTGAGCTTTCATCGCATTGAGCTTTCAGGTTTGCCATCTTGGTTTTTGAGTCTGTTTTCTGGTTGTCATCGTCGTCTTTTACCCCTGAATTTCCCTCATAAATCAAAGCCCTGCCCTCTTTCCACAAAATTAATCCTGCTGATATTCAAGAAGGTGTCATTGCCAATTGTTCAGATGTGCCAAGAAATATCAGAATGTCAATTTTGAGTGTCATTTATTAGTCAACTGTTTCGGTGAGTCTTTCCATTCCTATATAGGAACGGGGTCCTAAAAGTAAGGATTACCGTAAAATATTGAGGCAAAACATTGGCGACAGCAGAGTTTGGAGGTCGGAAAAAATTGAAATGTTCTGCTTGGGCCTGGGTAGACCTAGACCCGTGAACGTGGCTATCAGGCCGGCTATTTGTATAGCCACGGCACGCTTCAGTCTTGCTCTACTGAGTGAAGCGTTGAATTACGGGTACCCCTCCATACAAACGCTCCACCGATTTGGCATACTGTGGTGACGGCTTCACAGTAGCATAGTCACATCCCCACGCGAGGACAAAAAGACCCCCCCAAAAAAACGGTAAAGAGAATACAAATGAGAGAGATAGTTACCCTGGATTGATCGGTTTCGATCCAACTCGGACCCAAACCAAATCGGACCCAAGCCAACTCGGACCCATGCCAACTCAGACCCACTACCAACTCGGACCCACGCCAACTCAGACTCACTACCAACTCGGACCCACAACTAACTCGGACCCACTACCAACTCAGACCCACTACCAACTCGGACCCATGCATGACCAACTCGGACCCATCGCTTACAATCATTCGACAGCATTTTCAATCATTCGACAATTTCATAAAGTTTGTCCACTGATCATCTGTTAATACAGTGATGCTGTAAAGTATAAATTTTCATTGTAGTTGTCAAATGTCAGGTAAAATATATGTATCGCAGCAGTTTGTTGTTGTAAAGCGCATTGAAATGCTATTTTGAAATGCGCTTTAAAAGTGTAATTAATTATTTATTTTTATTATTTGTTTCCTATGAAACATATTGCGCTTTAACCAAAAGTAATTAAAATTAAAGTTTTACCAATTATTCATTTTCATATTTGACATCGTTCACGCCATCTTGCTCAATTTAACAGCAATTTATTTCATTTTTAATTCAAACCACATAAATTCAGAACAGATCTTTATAGAAAAATAAAATTGGAAAGTATGACATTGAAACATAAACACTTTTAAACATGACATTATTAATTCAATAAATATAAGTAAACATTATAAGTCATTAAATAAAATAGATAAGGTATAAAAACGAAGTATATTCTAATCTCTACATGTACATGTATTTAAAAAAAAAAAAGTACATGAACACCATTGCATACACTGCAAAAAAACGAAGGTTCCATATTGAACAAAAAAGGTTAATCAAAAAAGTATGAAAAGTTACACAGATTCGTAAAAAAACCCACAAAATTCAAAGCCAGCTTGTGAACTAAAAAAAAAGATCAACTTATTATTAAATACCCTACAAAAAGATGAAGTGTCAATCATCAAAAAGGAGTATTGGAGCTCCGGGAAGATTATCCTTCAAGGCCTTACAGGTAGCTGCCTGTATGTTCGACTATGATATTCCACGGAGGAAAAAAGTTAATCAAAAAAGTATAAAAAGTTAAACAGATTCGTAAAAAAAAACTAAAAAAAAACCCTAACAATTACACGAAATGAAAGGCCTATTTCAAATTAAAGGGAATATACATCATTTGCTTTTGCTGTAATTTTCAGAAATGGATGGAATTGGGGGGTTGGAAATATATAGCAAATATAGTTACACTGACTTTTTTGAGGTTTTGGGTTCGAAAGTGCTATAAAAACCAAGAAAAACAATCATTTTCCTGTAGTCTGGTTCCCTGACTCCATTTAAGAAGAAACAGAGCAGTTTACATATAGTGGGGAATTGTAAGGTCAGGGAACCAGTCTAGCTGGCTTGTACCCGTTGATAGGTGAGTAATCGATTGCAAACAAGTGCGATGGTCAACTGGGGCCAAAGAACTACTGACAAATGAAAATCCCATTGTTATTACGTTTCAGCCGTCTCCACCTTGCGTGTGTCCAAAGCCCATTACACGAAACAGTCGTTGATAAAGCGCGACTTGTTTTTCTTCAATCGAGCAACGACGGTGACGTCACGTCAGACGCCCGCATTCGGCAAGTCGGTGCAAGAATTGAGCTTCACGGCGAACACATTGAGCTGTAAGTTTTCAGACTATTTTGCTGTTTTTCTTCAAAATTTTCGCTGTTTGGGAACAATGTAAGGGGTCTGATGGAATGTCATGAATGTGTAGATCAATCCAGGGTAACTATCTCTCTCATTTGTATTCTCTTTACCATTTTTTTGGGGGTCTTTTTGTCCTCGCGTGGGTATGTGACTATGCTACTGTGAAGCCGTCACTAAAGTATGGCAAATCAGTGGAGCATTTGTATAGAGGGGTACCCGTAATTCAACGCTCCACTCAGTAGAGCTAGCTTCAGTCTATAGTAAAAACATTCTATTGTGATCCGCGGTTTAGATGGAGTGACCGTTCTAGCTGAATTTCGGCTACATTTGACAGAATATTTGCATACAAAAATGAGTTGTACAGAAAATCAGCAGAATATTTTTTTCGGCAGAATTATGAAGATGGAGGAAATATGAAAAAGATTAGAGAAATATGGCACATTTGGTTTGAAAAATCTTCCTTTTTTTGAAAGATCCCTGAAACAAACCCTTGCACAATGGAACAGCAATATATACTGGGTGATTTGGCAGACTTTCGAAGTGGATTTAGCAGAATTTTGTATGGTAGTACGGTCATCCTGCCATGTAAGATGGTTAATCGGGTACCCACTGGTGATACTCTTACCGTTTTGCGCATGCGGAACTCGGGGTACCAGAGTGTCATGCCTGTCTTTGATTTTCTGATCATTTTGAAAACATTTGTTGTGACAAAGTTGTGCCGTACTTGCGCGCATGCCATCACCTTCGGCCAATTTCGACCCGACTCGCTTCAGTTTTATGAATGAAATCATTACGCATTGGAGGGTGCATATGCCAGAAATTTACATTAGAAAAGCTCAGGATATCCGCTTTCTTCTGCCGAAGAAAGCGTCAAAATTGATGAATTATTGGTTGAGTTTTGCCAGTTTAAATTTTTTTTTAGCGTTTTCTTCTTTGGAACCAAAACTTCTTATTTTTCGAGGGAGTCCATCTTTTCAATCCTGATTTTCTTCCTTCCCGAATTTGGTTCGAAATAAACTGAATTAGTTCCGCATAGAACAGGTTTTCAGCTGTCGAATAGTGTGGCACATGTGGGTGGTCTGTTTGACAGTGCGATGGTCGCAAGCAATATGCATGAAAATTTCTCGCTAGAACTGCCAAAACTTGCGAATGATACTGAAGTGATCACGTGATATAAACACGTGCAACGTGGATCCCGTTTGTTTAAAGGGATCCCGTTTGATAAATGTGTGTGTGTGTGTGTGTCTTTTTTCTGTCCCTTTTACCCTGTATCCCGATGCGACAGGGTTCGGCGGTGGGTTGGGGTGGGGGAGGCCCACGGGTGGGGTGGGGGAGGGGGGAGGGAGGGTGAGGGGATGGGGCAGGGGGGAAGGAGGGGCGGGCCGGGAGAACACAGACACGGTGGGTGGAATATTCACATTCTTAAGTTTATGGCCATTGCACATATCCCAACACCTTAGGGGCGGGGTGGAGTCCCCCTGGGTGGGGGATGGGGGGGGGGTACTGGGGGGGTACTGAGAACCAGGATGGTGGAATATTTCCCTTCTGTAATACACCTGCACCATATCAGGACCCCGTGGAAGGGGGGTGGACGTGAGGGGCTGCGGGTGGGGGGGGGGGGGGGGGGGGGAGGGTGCCTCATGAGTGTAAAGGGGGGGGGGGTTAGAGTACTCAAAACCAGGAGGGTTGAAAATCCCTGGGGGGGGGGGAGCCTCAAAAGGGGGAGGGCGGAATTTCACATTTTCTTTTCTTTTTACGGGCCTTGCAAATATCCCGACCCTTTGGGCAGTGGGTGGTGGGGGCCCCCCACAAACGCAGAAATCTTGGTATGCAAATTAGGTAAACAGTGCCGCTCATTATGACATCATTGTCAAATTCTTGCTTACGTGCATGCCATCGCCTTCGGCCAATTTCGGCCAGACTCGCTTCTGTTTTATGAATAAAATCATTATACATCGGAGGATGCACATGCCAGAAATTTACATGATGAAAGCTACAGATGTCCGCTTCCTTTTGCCGAAATTTATCAATGGAACTGCCCAAAATTGCGCATGATTTTCAATTGATCACGCCATCACCGCGCGCATTCTAATAAAAAAACAAAACAAGATTAATAAAATAATCAAGATGTTTTGTTTTCTGATGAATGATGTGCCTTATTATTGGGAATACCCCTTTCATTACCCCTCAGTCGAGAGGCTCGAGGGGTATTGTCATCGCCTACGGCGTCCGTCCGTCCGTATGTCTGTCCTTTCTGACCATACCCCCCCTTGTGGGGTGATGTTCCTTTCAGGACACATCACCCCACTATTTTCACAATAGAAAAACATCACCCCAGAAGAGAATCTTTAGAAAAAGGGATAATGGGAACACAATGCTATCACCCCACAATTCCGTCTGGCTAGACTGGCCGTATGTCCGTCCGTCCGGGCAGCTTAGTTTCCGGATGATAACTTGAATTAGAAATGTTTTTTGGGATTGTAACTTCAGTAAGGGGGTGCCCTTGGGAGTAGGCAAGTTGGGATTGGTTTTGAGGTCAAAAGGTCAAAGGTCAAGGTCACTGTGGTGAGCTAAAGGTAAATGGTTTCCGGATGATAACTTGAGTTAGAAATGAGATTTTGGTGTCTAACTTAGGTTGGGGGTTGCCCTTGGGTACAGGCAAGTCGGGATTGGTTTTGGGGTCAAAAGGTCAAAGGTAAAGATCACCGTGGTGAGTTAAACATAAATGGTTTCCGGATGATAACTTGAGCTAGAAATGAGATTTTGGTGTCTAACTTTGGTAGGGGGTTGCCCTCGGCAGTAGGCAAGTTGGGATTGGTTTTTGAGTCAAAAGGTCAAAGGTCAAGGTCACCATGGTGAGTTAAAGGTAAATGGTTTCCGGACGATAACTTGAGTTAGAAATGAGATTTTGGTGTCTAACTTGGGTTGGGGGTTGCCCTTGGGTACAGGCAAGTTGGGATTGGTTTTGGGGTCTTAAGGTCAAGGTCACTGTGCTGAGTTAATGGTTTCTGCATGATAATTTCAGTTAGACATGATACATGTATTTGAGTTCGGAATGTCAGTTTTCCCTTTTCGACAAACTTTGGCTGAGGGGTTTCAACAGCAACGCTGTTATTTTTTTTACTTTGCCCCTGCCCTGGACACCATGTTCCGACCCAAGGGGTGGGGCGGTGGGGGGAGGGGGGTTCTCAGCGTTGTGTTCAAACCATGCCAAGAGGGCTGAAATTTGTTCTCCAACAAGTGTTTTTTGTCTTTTGGTACAATTACGTTCCCGACCGGACTTTTTTTGATTGCGAGATCATGGACCGGATGGGGATTGAGCCCGGGTAGGGGTTGGTGGTGGGGGGGGGGGGGGGGGGGGGGGCCGGGCAGGGGATGTTCTTCCAGTGATTTTCAGTTCCAGATCTGCATGCCCAGTGGGTGGGTGGGGGAGGGGCGGGGATTGTGTATTTTCCAAACCAAGAGGGTAGCATATTCTTCCAGTGATTATTTTCATGCATGCTGTGGGGGGGGGGGGGGGATTTCCCAAAACAAAGAGGGTGGAATACATTCATGTTCTTCCAGTGATTAATCTTAAGACTTGCTGCTCTTGGGAGGGGGGGGGGGGGGAGGGGGCCGCATGAGTTTGGGGGAGGGGGGGTAGAGTATTCCAAACCAGGAGGGTTGAATATCCTGGGGGAACCTCAGAAGGGGAGGGCCTGGAATTTCCCAATTTCTTTTGTTTCTGTCCGTGCATTATATCCCGACCCTTAGGGGCAGAGGATGGGGGCCCCAAAAAACTAATCGCAGAAACCTTCGTATGCAAATTAGGTGAACAGCGCCGCTCATGATGACGTTATCATCAAGTTCTTGCTTTAATACGCGCATGGCATCGTCTTCGGCCAATTTCGGCCCGACTCGCTGGGAGTCCATCTTTTCAATCCTGTTTTTCTTCTTTCCAACATTTGGTTTGAATTCAAATGAATTAATTTCAAATAGTTGAGCTTTTTAGCTGTCAAATGGTGTGGCACATGTGGGTGGTCGGTTTGATAGTGCGATGGTCGCGAGCAATATGCATGGAAATTTATCAATGGAACTGCCAAAAATTGCGAATGAATTCACGTACATCATCACCACGCGCATTCTATAATAAAAAACAAATATTAATAAAATCAAGATTTTACTTTTCTGATGAATGATGTGCCTTTATTATGGGAATACCCCCTTCATTTTTCCTTGCCCCCTGCCCTGGACACCACGACCCCCCGGGGGGTGGGGGGCGGTGGTTTCAAACCATGCCAAGACGGCGGAAATTTGTTTTCCATTAGTGATTTTTTCCTTTTGGTGCAGTTATGTTCCAGACCAGACTTTTTAATAGCGAGATGGGACCGGCTTGGTGGTTGTGCCCGGGTAGGGGTTGGTGGGGGCCGGCGGGGATTTTCTTCCAGTGCAGTGATTCTCAGTTTCAGACCTGCATGCCATGGGTGGGGTGGGAAGAAGGGGTGGGGGGGGGGGGGAGAGAGGGGACGGGGGTGTTTTGGATTTTCCAAACAGATAGGGTGGATCCCAAGCAAATGGGTGTGGACTTCATTCATTTTTTTCCATTGATTATTATTAAGACCTGCTACTCTTGTGAAGGGGCGAGGGGGAGGGGGCCGTGTGAGTGTTGGGGGGAGTTGAGTGTTCCAAACCAGGAGGGTTGAATTTCCGGGGGGGGGGGGGGGGGGGGGTGGCCGGGAGCCTCAGAAGGGTAGGGCCGGGAATTTCCCATTTTCTTTTGTTTTGTTTTGGTCCTTGCATTATATCCTGACTGTTGGGGGCGGTGAATGGTGGGGGGCCGACAAACTTATCGCAGAAATCTTCGTATGACGTCATCGTCAAGTTCTTGCTTACGCGCACGCCATCGCCTTCGGTCAATTTCGGCCCGACTTGCTGGGAGTCCATCTTTTCAATCCTGTTTTTCTTCCGTCCAACATTTGGTTCGAAATCAAGTGAA